CACAATGTACCCAACTTCTGATGGCTACTTTCAGCAGGATAATGCGCCATGTCATAAAGCTGGAATCATCTCAGACTGGTTTCTTGAACATGACAATGAGTTCACTGTACTCAAATGGCCTCCACAGTCACCAGATCTCAATCCAATAGAGCATCTTTGGGATGTGGTGGAATGGGAAATTCGCATCATGGATGTGCAGCCGACAAATCTGCGGCAACTGTGTGATGCCATCATGTCAATATGGACCAAACTCCCTGAGGAATGCTTCCAGCACCTTGTTGAATCTATGCCACGAAGAATTGAGGCAGTTCTGAAGGCAAAAGGGGGTCCAACCCGTTACTAGCATGGGGTACCTAATAAAGTGGCCGGTGAGTGTATAAAAACAGCATAAATAGGTCAAATTTAGACCTGCAAATTTTTTCCTATTAAACCTCCTTACCTGCTTGCAATTGAACATATACTCAAAATGAAACCGCCTCCCATCGGATCTGTGAATTATTTTTAGCTATTACAAGATATCTCAGCACCATAAAACTGTAAGTATGGATAATAGTCCAGCTCGTCACCCCTGGTTAGAAGAAACATTTTGTATAAAATAAATATTTCATAGCATAAAGACGCAATAAACCTCCAGGCCAAGTTTAGCAGCCGAATGAAAGATCGTTACCTCATCCCAGCAGCTACCACAATCATTTATTCCAACACATCCAAAGGCTTAGAAGAAAGACGCAGACACCAAAGGTTATGGAAATAAGTAAACAAATAAAGAGGAATGTTCACTGTCTGTTCTCTTTTTTTTCACCCAAACATCTCGTACCAAAAAGTCTGTTGATTCACATTCATAGCTGATCATTCATAGCTGATCTCAATAAACTATAGATTGAGCAAATGAAGCAAATAAATAACATTCTCAGTTATAATTTTTATATTACTTATTACTTTGCTAATGTCTTTGGAACCTTTGAAGAATAGGTCTTTTGTACGTCATCATACAAATATTTTTTTAACAAATTTCTGCTCCAAACTTTGGGGGCTGCTTCAGAAACTCACCAGTACACACAGCAAAAATCCCACAGATATGTAAAATCTAATTTTGTGTGAAAGAGCTTTGATAGAAAACAAATATAAATGAAAGTAAATCAAATCTCTCTTTTAGCCTGTGCCTGAGTTCATAATGTGATTCTGGAAGAATAGACAAGCATTCTCCTTATAACACTCCTGCATTTTATGCAAAGCCTTGTCCAGCTTTTGCAGGCTACAGCTGCAAATACTGGACATACTGTGCATAATTTTAAACCCTATAGATTAAAACTATCTCTCTAGTTCATATATGTGTAAAGGCAGATGAGCAAGTGCTTATATTTACATATGGGTAAATTAGAAAATGAAATAGATCTTCTGAGCATACCACCGCAGAGCATTGATGTACTTCTGATTACATCAGTATATCTGAACTCACTTATTGGGTTCTGTTAAGATAAGAGATTATCTGTTTTACTGTGAGTTAGCAGCATCAGGTATTTATGGGAGCCACTTGCTGTATCTCTGCAACAGCTTTGTGGTGTTTGTGTCTGGATGCAGTCCCACTGTGAAAATATGTCTGAAGTATATACAGCCGGCTGCTTGAGATGCTTAGCACAATGTTTATGTCAAGTTTTAAAATGTATCAGAAAGGAAATGCAATATTGCATTGGCTTAAAATCCAAAATCCTCTTAATGCACCTTTCGGATTTATTACCCTTTACTTCAGCCTCATGTATCGTTTCGTATGCTGTAACAGACACACTGTAAATTATGAATCGACTAGCTACTTGATTTGATGTCTTGGTCAGACCTCAACACTACAGCACCAAGTAGATTTATTATCTTGTTGAGAAAAGCAGCATTTTTTTTTTTTTTCAAATTGTGGGTCAGAAACCCAGAGTGAGTCACTGGCTCGCATTTCAGTGGATCTCAAAGTTTAGTTAGTTTAATGAGCTCTCAGCGCAAGAGCAAGTCATTAACTCCAGATGGATTTTAGTCCAGGGTTGAGGAAACTAAATGGTCCTGTGGTCAACAGTGTTCAAGGGTCAAAACTTCATCAAAATAAAATAAAAAAAACTTTTTTTGACTGTAAAGCTGATCCTAAAACAATTTAAAGAGCTTAAACACTGTAGTTCATCTCTTCATAGGGAGACCACACTGTAAAGTTTCATCTTAATTAGATTACACAAATGTCTACTTAACTACACTAATCTTCTGTAAAGACTTTGAATAATTTTCTGCTAATGCATTTTTAATCCATATAAATTTTAAACCTATAATAGTATATCAGGAAATGATAGAGTTTAAATCAAATGAGTCAATATTTCAATACTAAAATTCTTTCGGATTAATTTGTTTTTATGCAAATGATCCCAGAGTGAGATTGCATGAAAGGAGTGCACAGAGAGTAGGAAAACATTTACTTTTATTTCTAAGGGGTGCAGTAACAGGTCCTCAAATTGATATATAACACATTGATTTTCATGTCCCATTATTTTTGCAATTTATAAAAATGGATTTCTTTGATATTTTTGCAAATCAATCTACTGTAAGGAGGCTGGTTGTTTTCCTGTGGGGCAAAATGTACAACAAAGGATAAATATGTTTTGTTTAAAAATGTGCCATATATATATATTTTACTGTAAAATAAATAACAGCCATTAACATATATTAGCTGAAACAATGACTAATAGTTAAAAGTTTTTTTATGCATTATAACAGTCTTACTTAATGCTTCTAATAAATAGGCCAGAGATTTAATATAGATTTTATACACTTAAAATTACCAAAGCAGTCTTGCAACTGGATTCGTCCACCATTGCCATGTAGCAATATCCCATCATCTATGCATGGAAACTTAAAGTGTATAACTGTAATTTTTTGTAATTAACAGACCATTTTGTATAAAATACCTCTAACAACAATATTTAATTTTAATATTCAAACAAAGGATAAAATGTTATGCTTAGTGCTAATGCCACCTATTGTCTTTCTGCAATGTTGGCTTTATTTCTTCAACCTCACAGTTGTCAGGGATATAACTGACTTCTTATCAAAGAATGGCCAGTGGTAACATGGACATGACTAGTTTTACACCTCTCAGATAAAAAATGTTTTGTCAAAAAGGAAAATTGTTTCTAAAGCTAAATAACCTAATAAAGTATAGTAAAAGTAAGCATATTTGTTAAAAGGAAAAAAAGCTTTAACTTGATTTTCTCTCTAATATTTTACTGATTACTATTATAATTCCTGCAAGTTTTTTATTTTTATTTTAATCTGATCATCTGACAACACAATTGGATTAGAAATGGCTGCCTATTTTACACCAACACATCCTGACTCTGGATTAATTTGACCTGCATTTGATATAGAATAAAAAATACAATATGTAGTATAGGAGAAAGAATAGAGTAAAAATAGTAAACTATAAAAGGGGGCAAAAGAAAAGACAATAGTTGACAGTGGTGGCAGTTGGTAGTTGTGTTGAGGAAAACCAGACCTCCTCCATGTCTCTTTCACATTCTCTCCCTCTCTCTGTCTCCATCTCTTCACTCCCCACTCTCCCTTTCACTCAGAGGCCTGATATAATGAGGTCAGTCCCCTCTCAAGGATCGCTCCAAATAAAAACCCAATGTCTCTCTTCTCATTCCATTGTGGCCTCTCCCTTTCTCTCTTTCTTTCTTGGTGAACATCCTGTCTTCCACGCGACAGGCCTGCTCCTTGTCGTACCCATATTAGGACATGCCCTGTCTCTATGAATTTCCCCACCCACCCACATTAAGAGGTTCCTAAGTTTCTTACTATTCACCAAAAGCCAAATTCAAGAGCTTGATCTCCCTCAGAAAATGCACGCCACTTTCGTTGTTGTGTGTTTGCAAATATTTACAATAGCAAAGGTGTATTATGAGATTGTAAGAGATTTTGAATGAAGCTTACAATGTTAAACTGTTAATATCTCAAAAATGGGATCAACTTTTAAAATATCAAGAGACAAAAACTAATGTCTATCTTAGCTCTGCACCTTGTGGGGCAATAAGGATTAAAAGAGGTTTTTTAATGTTGCATTTAGGACTGGAGCTATACATGGAGACTGACGGACCAACGTGATCACAGTCTTAAAAGATACCAGAGATTGTGTCCCTCCTATCAAGAGACCACACCTGTTAACCTTTAGATAAAGGGGGTGAAAGTCAACTCCTCTCAATGCGGTTGTGGTTCTCAACTGGAAAAAGACTGAAACATTGGGTCAAGGGGTACCGTTTGCTCCCAGTGTGTTCATTTTATTAACTTGCTCTGGTAGGTTACAGCATGTAACTTGATTGATTGATAGGTGTCTTGTTGGCACTAAGACTGGTGCTGCTCTTATCTTAGGGAAATGATAAATTAATAAAAAAAAAAAAAGGAAAAGTGCTTGGATCTTGATTGTAAAAGAAATACATAAATATCCTAAATGCAGGTGGCTTCCCGGAAATAGAGCGACTCTGGATTAATCAAAAGGATTAATTCCTAATTTGCCCATTTTTTGCCACTGTTCATGACGCCTATTGGGCACAAACCCCTCTGGATGTTCTCTTTTCCTTCTGTCTCTTAACACATTTGGATAATCCAGAATAACCTAAATCTTGTCTGCCAATAGCAAGTCGTCTGCACTTCTCTTAAGGATCTCTTACCTTTGTGACATAATAGATAAGTGAAACATGGACAGACAGATGACAGATTTAAAAGAATTCAAATACTTAAAAAAAGAAGCAAAAAAATAAAATACTGCAATAAAATAAATGCCAAAAATAGTCAGGAAAATATAATACACCAAATGATTTCCATTCACGCTGTCTAAAAATTAGGTCTTTTTCTGCTTTTCTACAATTTGGTTCCTTATATCTCCAGACCTGACTAAATGCTTTTGTCTGATTCAGACAGGCAGACAACTGTTTAAGTTTCCTCTGCTGTCTACATTTCCGTAACTCTCTACTCAGACCATTTGAGATCATCATCCTGATGACCATCTTTGCTAACTGTGTGGCCTTAGCTGTCTACATCCCCTTCCCTGAGGATGACTCTAATGCCACCAACTCCAACCTGGTAAGCAGCACATGAATTTTACCGCTTTTAAGCTTTTAGTTGATGGCATGCTATTTGTTTCTCTTTTGTCTCTTGGACAAGTTTACTTTGTAGAAACAGATTTGACTTTGATAAGACGCATTAACGATTGCATTTCCTTTCCTATCATTTAGATAAGCTTATGTAACCTATACATACAATACATATGGGGTGTGTATGCAGCAGTGATATTGTCTGATGATGTAGAGAGTTATTGAATTTTGATGTCAATTAATGTGGAACTAGAATAGCAAAAGAAAATCCATGTGAATTTACTCCTGATTTCTCGTAATAGGGACTGGAGGTAATGAAAGGGTTTCAGTGATACTGAGCATGTATTTATTCTTGTTTAGATGAATGAAGAGCAGCTGTGCTGTTGTGTAAAGTTGATTTCCCCTCATTTAACAGGGAAAATGAAAACAATTTATTAAAAAGGGTCAGCAAGTACCTGTGGAGTCTGTTTGAAAATTGCATTGGAGACAGTTTGCCCACCATGTTTAACCGTCTTGTTTATCCATTAAAGTACCAGCGTGTACATCTTTACAGCATTTTTACTAGTGCCAGACCATAATTCTTACACCATATTTTTAGCACATCCCTGCAAATAAATGATGAATTCCCCTGTTCTGACACAAGCTGCCACCCAGTCAGTTGCTTTCTCCAAGCTGTGATTTCAAACCTGACAGACAGCTGTTGGCTTTGCAGTTTGATGCAATGTGTGAGTGTAAGAGGCAGGTACGTAGGCTGTATTTTATGGTGCTCATTTCCTATCTGTTCTGTGCAGAGCCACAACTTACTAGTTATTCATTTGTTAAGTTTAATGTCACTTTATATTTAAAAATTAAGAAAAAGGTTCTTTGAGCTTTGTGTATTCTTTAAGAAAGAAATGATGGAACTTAATTTGACAAAAATAAAGAAAATATAGTAGCCGTTTCGAATTTCCAATGGTCTGTACAACAACCAGATAATCTACTTTAGTCTACACAGGATTTCCAATGGAACTGTCCTTTATTGACTTTTTAAAGCTGCATTGAAATTGATCCACACCTAAACCCTCCTGGTACTGCTTTGTCAAATAATAATGCAGCGTGAAGGCAGGTATACAAGTCAGAGGAGTAAATACAACTAAATGAAAAGATTTTCCTTACACCTTTACAGCTGTATCTTATCGCTCGTTGCATGCCTTCATCTAACCCTAAATTAACTAAATAGCTTACATAAACACATTGTACTACTATTGACTTAACTCTTACTTCATATCAGTTAAATCAGACATCCTCCAAACTTATTTGAAATCCTGTTAAAAGGCATAGATGTAAAATTACTTATACTAATCTTAGATTGAAAACTGGACAAAAAAAAGTTCAGTACATTTGTTTAGTGAAGGGAGAAATACAATGTTAAGAAATTTGTTTTATGAAAAGTTTTTGATCGACTCAAGACCCATTTCTAGTAGCCCTTTGCCAGAGGACCTTATGAGAACCCTGTTTAACAAAAAATCTTCAAGCTCATTGTTAGAACTGTGCCTGACGTTAGTATCAAGGGTCATCAGGTCTCTGTAACAACTATTTCTGCCACCTACTTTTTTTATTGTTCTGCTAGTAACATGAAAACATTTAATTTATGGATTTTTCAACAGGGGAGTGATTCAAAACATACAATAGCAGCCATTGAAAATGGCCCTTCCCAGTCAAACAACAGCTGAATGGCAGCACACTTCCCCGCAAAATCCCCTCCAACTTCCAGCCACTGGAGTGACCCCCTCCTTCTCCTGGGCATGCACATATTTTACTCTGACTCCACCCTTTCACTGAATTACAGGGTCTGAGCATGATAAGGGATATCTCTTTAGACCGTAATGTTTAGAAATCATGACAGAAAGAATATTTTAGTATAAAAATTTATGTTTAAAAAAGGAATCGTAGGGGAACAGCCAAGGAACCATCAAAGAAAGTGGGGAAATGTTGAATGGCTACTACTGTAAGGTAAAATAAACACAGAAATGGTGCAACAGAAACAAAATCAACCATCTATTGCCACCTCAGTCCCCAGACCTGAATCCAACAACAGCAATAAACTTCAGGGAAAGCTGAAGAGAAACTGCATGACAGAGGGTCCAAGACCTGTAACATACCAAACAAACTGTGCAAACAGCAAACTAGTTAGTGTGGAGGGTTTTGTGGGATGAATATGGAGTTTTAATAATTGGTCAAAACAATTCAAAACTTTCGCCATTGCCTTTTTAAAAATGGTCGTGTCATTTAATATCCCTAGTGTTTAGTGGATTATTATGGATCTTATACCTACGTAGGAATCCTTAACATATACAGAATGCACATACAGGCCCCTACATACAAGCAACTCCCCCCACCACAGCTGTTGCTAATTAGTTTTATAACCTTCACACATACAGGAAGCAGCATGGAGATAGAGAGAGCACAGGCTTAACTATGTGGTTGCGCTAAGCATCTGTTTGGGGGCTAGTTTGGCAGACTGAGCTGGATTCAGACTGACACAGTCTTTAAATACAGTAGTTTTAAAAGATGTCTTCTAAAATGCTTCCAGATTTGCATCTTAGATCATTAAGTTACTGCAGTGCGTTCACAAGACAGTAATTACACACAAGACTGCAAGAACACATTACTTCCTCTGTTAATTTGTAGGTTTTTTTTTCGTGATTCTTATTGTATTAATCCAGGTCAGAACTGTGGTGTCATTCTGAGTCAGTAGCTTGTCTTTCCATGAATCAAATGTTGAGGGTATAAAGTCTAAAGTATTCTCGCCTTTACAGGTTTATTCTCTTTTTACTGCTAAATTTAGCTGTTTCAGATAGCAGCAATAACCTGAATAATCACAAAAATAGTTTTTATATTAAACATTCATTTACTAAATAAAAACCTACAATTGGAAAGGTTATTTATGATGGAATTCCGGCCTAGTCTTCCTTATTTTAATTAGTCGTATGGCTGAGCTGTTTAAACAGGACCAGTTTTAGTTGGAAGTTTGAACTTTGACTAAGCCAGGGAGTGCCAAGTTCATTCATTCCTGCAACTTCTAGATGCATCTGTGGTCCTCAAAACCAGAATTAACTGGCTGAATTCCCTTATCAGCACATCATTAGGCTCTGTAGAGGCATGGTTATAACTGCATGATTCTGGTGTGTTGGAGAAGTGATACATTAAAAAGTTAAAGGATGTAACTCTTCATGACTGCAGCTGGGTACCGCTGCACTAAGCCCAACCCCTTTTTTTTTTAGCTATGCAAAGGTGTACTTGGGAGTATGCTTTAGATCTGTGCCTTATTGGATAATTCAAGGGCGTTTAAGCCCAAGGTCAAAAACTGATGGGCACTTCATTCGGGTATTTAAGTATTCATGATTCCATCAATTATGGAAAATTGTTCAGGTCACAGAGTAGAAATGTAGTCCAGGTCATAAAACGACAATTCTCATTGGTAATTTTCTGTTGCCATGATGTTTGGAAAGAATGGCAAACAGAATGTCAAAAAGATACATTTCCTGATGTCCTCGCTACATGACCTTTGTTTGAAAACTTGATATATGCCTCAAAATGCATATACACTTAAGTAAAGATCAATGATGTTTTGTTAATTTCTCCAAATGAAGTGGGTTAAGAAAGCCATTCATTTGCCATTCCACAACTTTTTTCTTTTCTTTTTTTTTTGCATTTAAATTTTGGGATGACGGTGGCTTAAAAGGTAAGTGTTCACCCTGTTACCTGTAGGTTGCTGGTTTGAGTCCCTGCTCAATCCATCTCTTTGGTCTTTGACAGGACACGTCTGTGGACCTGGGGTCTGTTTCATGAAGCAGGTTTAACAAATTCCGATTCAAATCTAACTCTACATTGATCTAGCCTAAAGTCGGGAACTCTGAGTGTTTTCGTTTTCACAATGGCTGCTATCAAGTAGTTCAATTAATTTTAACTAGGTCCACTAGGAGTTAAGCGTGTAGGCAACAGGTACGAAAAGCCATTATCAGTGGAGCACCAATTTGACAAGTCACCACGTCAACAAGCATGCTTTGTGTGAGGGATTGCATTTGAGTCAATGAGTCGATGCAATCAACTGGTTTTCCTTAGATAGAAAACTTTGTATCAGTTTGACTGTATGATCTGATTGAACTGTAAAGAGCCTTGAGATGACTTGTGTTGTGAATTGGCGCTATATAAATAAACTGAATTGAATTGAACAGGCAACAGGAACTGCCTATTTCACTCCAGTGGATCCAGAGATTTTAATGCAGAAATGCAACATAATAAAATAAAATAGCAGATTGTGTTTAAAAGACAGAGAAACAGAGCTACAACTACAAAGGAGAGGAGGTGGGGAAGGAGAATATTGTTGTTTGAGTTTTATAAATTAAATTTATATGAAGTGGGCTATAGCAGGCTGTTTTTACATTTATGAAAATAATTCCTCTCTGTTGTTCCATTCGTAGATCACTAAAATAAGATTCTCCCTGATCAAAATGACACTTCTAGACCTAACTGTAATAATATATTTTCTAGGAAATATTTGTAGCAGAAACTGAATTTTAGAAATAAAAAAATAATTATTATTATACTAGTAAGAATTAAGTTTTATATATCTAGAAATATTTACACATTTTAATTGGCCATTCTGACATTTATCAGCTTGACTGAAAATGTATTTATGATATATGAAAAACATTTTTTTCATTGTTAAAATAATAAAAATGCTGATGAGTAAAATTAGGAATATGGAGATCTGAAATTAATTTATAGAAATCCAGAATGTTTATTCTAGCTGTGGAGAATGTTATTTTGTTTGAAATGGTCATTTAGACAAAGACAAGATATATATATTTTTTTAGATATCGGGAATACATATTTAGTAAAACTAAACTTATCAAAACACCTTGCCATAGGTTTTATAACCATGAAAATATTACGGAATTATTTCTTGAATGGTAGTTGATCAATTTGTCTATTTAGGTGAAATTT